TATCAAAATCGGCACAGAGGCATATCTTTGGACAGGGAATAATATTTTGTGTATCATTTCTCATTTTGTTACGGGAGGCGCCACATGAATGATTACTAATGATGAAATTAAGTGGTAGCTTTTTTTGACAAAACTTTTTAGTATTGTTGATTGGAAAATATGATGTAAACGTCATTTCTACGTAATATTGGTACTCTTGTTTAAACACGATAATTTTACCCGTTTTCGAGAAAAACGCAATTGAGCAGCTCACAAGTCTCAGATGGGGAGTTAAAAAAATATTTCACATATGAAAAGTGTGCTTAGGAATGTCAGATAATTGTGTTTGGTACATGTAATTTCTTGACAGTGAATTATTTTTGCTGTTTGATTATAGTCTATTATTATTACTAAGTATTATTATTATTTATCACCCTGTATCTTATTCCACAATATTTTATTAAGGTATATTTGGCCCTATCGCCATATTTTGCTCCAAATAATCTGACCTTAGATTATGTCCCAATAGTTATGAATCACCCTGTATATGTTACTGAATTTTATTAGGTAAAATATTCGAAGACGAATAAATAACTTTAAAAAGTAGTCATTAGAAAAATAATGACAAGGGTGTTTAAATCCTTGAACTGTATTAACCTTCACCTGGCATGCTCATCCTGAGTAACATACCTGGACTCGTGGGGTACGTACGAACCCCAGTAATAAAAATCTTTGTAAAAATTGAAATATTGATTATTTTGTCTCAAAAAATTCAGAGATCCTCTTTAGATACCACTTTAAACTGTAGAATAGTTCTAATTGAAAAAAGATCAACGTTCATAAAAAAAACCTGAAAATTTGAAAACTTGAAAAAAATGCGTTTTTTACAAAAAAAAAACAATCATAACTTTTTCGTTTTTCGATAAAAAGGGCTGAAATTTAGCTGTCTTCTTCTGTTACGTCGCTATAAAAGAATAATAATTGTTTCCATGGGTCTTTAAAAAATATTTATTTTGAGAGCGCTATCCCACTGGCCTAGGTATAATAGTGACTACCGATAGATGTCGTTACGAGTTTGGATTTCGAAGATTTAGATATCTAAAATCGACGAGAAAGAGCGTGGGGTATGTACGTGCCCCCACGAGTCCAGGTGAAGGTTAAACAAATTTTACACATTATTTCAAAGTGTGGGACAAGGTAAGTAATTTTCTATATTTTTTAAAAACTGCAATATTCCAACTGATAAATGTACTGATAAAAACATTCGGTTGGTGTTTTTAGACTTTCAAATAATGATTTGATATCAAAACCTTTCAAATGAATAAAAATATTGTTCATATCTAAAACAAAAGTTGCAGTAGAAAAGTGTTCATACATTTACAGCTATGAATTCGAAGACATTTTATAGATGCCACCACGACGTATATTCTTCGTTTCACTCATGATTTTTCTACATGAGAAGGCTAGACCCAATATTTTTGTCCAAAAATGCACACAACGCAAAGCGTCAAGACCGGTCCTGATTGTCCTGAATGTCACAGAAATGTCATCTCACTTGCAGCATCCTAAGCAAGGTTGTCACATAAAAAATTAAAATTTCACGCGTTTTTTAAAGTGTCATTGTCATTGATAAATGTAAACTATAAACTTTTAAATGGTTTTGTATTATTTTATGTTTAGCGGATTTTAATTATACGTTATTTGTATGTAACGTCTGGGGTAACCACATACTAAAAAATCGAAGTATGTGTGGTAACTAAAAAATGTATGTACATTTTCATTTGACTTAAATTCCAATGTCACATAACATCAGAAAACTTGGGAGCATCGGCAAGTTCGCATAATGAAATAACTTTTGCCTTCGGAACTACGCGAGTGGAAACGAGTTGCTACGAGGGACCTTTAAATGGGTATGGCCATTTATCTCTCTCTTAATTTTGACGTTCTTTGTCAACTTTCGCATCTGGGTAATCTGTGGTATGGCTAGCTAACATAATACATTTTTATTTTACATGTGTAGGAATATTGTGAAGGTAACACAATTATACACCTTTTGAACTAATAACACCTTATATTCTATACTTTTAAGGAATAAGTAACAATGATAAATCACTAATCATACATGAACTTATATACTCATATTATGCGTAATACATTCTTCTGATAAATATGATCAATCTATCCATGATGCATAGCCATAGACGTGTCCTATACAACCATACTGCAGAACTTCGACCTGTAATTACATAAGATAATTAAAATGTTGTTTCCATTGGAGAAGACGCACTCAGTGCGCTCAGATTGACAATCAAGTGTTCCTCGTTGCCACCGATCAACTCATTATTGCCATCCAATGCCATTAATAGTTCATTTCGTGTCACCGAGGGTCTTTATTGCCAACATAGTGCCGTCAATGGGCTCATTAGTGCCATCAAATGGCCATCAAAAGGCTCATTATTTCCATCAAAGGGCTCATTAGTGCTATCAAAGAGCTCAACCATCAAAGGGCTCATTAGTGCCATCAAAGGACTCAATAATGCCATCAAAGGGGTCATTATCTTACCTTAGGATTTCTAAAAGGTAAATGATTTTATGTATTCCAATACCACAACTACTTCATATGGACGTTTAGATCTTCCAGTATGCAAGTCTTCCTTAACCCTATATCTATCATTTGGAAGAACCTCTAAACTCTAAACCCCTAAACTTAGGCAGTAACTTTTTTCTTTCTCCCGTTGCAGGGTTGCTAATGACTTTTGTAAGTACCAAATCTCCTACTTTATACATTTTTGGTGGGCTTCTTTTCTTATTAAATGAGATATCCTGTTTGAACCTATTTTGTTCTAGTCGCTTTGCTGCTCTTTTCCTAATGGTTGTTACATCTACATTATCTTTGCTCTCAGAGTCGTGGATGTCATTATTCATCTTTAGAGGAAATCCAAATAACAGTTTGGCCGGGGTGTAGTTTGTGACTCGGTGCTTTGTACTGTTTATTAATGCCTTGTTGAATAGTGATTATTTTTTAATCCCAGTTATTACTGTTCGTATCTGCTCCTAAAGTAGCCAATGCGAGTATTTTCTTATTAGTTTTTTCAACTTAGCCATTACCACTGGGCAATCCAACTGCTACCGTAAATAATTTAAAACTTTTTGGTTCCAAGAAGTCTTTAATGTCGTTGAAATAAATGCTGTCCCTGTATCAGCTATTATTCTTTTAGAATTTCTAAAAATCATAAATATTCCAATTTGGTACAGCTTTTAAATAAGTAAACTTTGAAAACCCATCTACAATTACTCATAAATATTTATTTCCACTAAGTGCAACAAATAAAATCCACTATCAGAATTTTTTACCAAAACAAAATTTTATAAATAATTTAGGCAAAATTAGAAAAAATATTGTATTGTAACACGTTACGAGTAAGGCATTTCGTAACCGCTTTCCTAAATAGCTATTATATTTTATTACGTACTTTTATGTAATCCTCTAAACCACTGTAGATTGCATCACATGCTTCAGGAACTAGTTTTGATATTTCCGCTTTTGAAACACGAAAAAAGTGTTTTAAACTTTTACACCTGTTTTCGGTAGCCAAGTATGATAGTGTTATCTGCAATTTAATACGAGTTAGTATAAAATCTCTCATAAAAGTATCCGATTTTTCGAATTTGAGGACCTATTGAATTGAACAACTCATCCAAACTATTCGGTGACATCTCCAAACAGAACTGAAATTCAGCTCCTCACGAATTTCTTCTCGCTATCCATTTCCGTATCAACAATCTCTTCTTTTTATTACATTCTTCCTCTAATATTTCCAAAACTTTTTCAATATTTTTTATAGCCTTCTAATGGTATTTTTAGCACGCAGAGCAAAACAGTAACCTTCTGAACTTGACTTACCTCAAACGCTTGCCCACATGAACCGGTACTTGGCTGTGGCACATACTTTATTTAATTAGTATTGAACAACATAGCATAATCACCAGACCTAGCAGATACTGGTGAAACAGTTTTGAGATTTTATTTTTAAGGAGATCTGAACATGTATTACTAAATTATAGTCTCGAATCATCAGTGCATAGAGATGTAAGCGATTCCTATAAGACAAGACGTAATTTATATACGAAATAAATAATAAAGGGCCAATATTGATCCTTGTGAGATTTCATTTTTATTCGCCAGCTTAGTAGATTTAAATATATGCCTATTACTTAACATTTTAAAAGATTTCTCGCACCCAATATACCCGCAGAACATCAGCCAATCAAGCCTCTTGGATTTTCAAAGACAGAATAAAGAAGATCTATTTTAAATTATATTAATGTAAGGTTCGATCTTTTCACCTCTAATACAGTTACATGTAGATTTACTTGACAGATTAACAATCAACAGCCCTATAATTTAATCAGCAAGTAGTTACTTTCAACTTTACTCAGAGATGAAAAGACTGGCCCTAAATCTACAATAATTGTAGATAGTGAATAAAGATTATTAAGGAAATTATAGCAATTGTTGGAAATGTCAGATGTCAAGACAAACATAAAGCGTATTAGATAGGACGTGTAAGATAAGTTTGACTATTTATTATTTAAAAGTAATTTTAAAAAACAGAGTTCAAAAAAATGTTGCAATTAAAAATAAACGAATAGAAAAACAACTGTTTTCTTATAAAAACTAGACTTCAATGCAACAAATAAAATCAACAGAATAGAAAAATCACAAACTGGCACTAAAAAGTATAAAATAATTGCATAATTTAATCATAAAGCAAGTTAATAAATAACCTTTTTCTACGGCTGCAATGATAAGTCATCATTTTGATTCGGCTATTGGAACTTATATCATACACATTTTACACAACATTTCATATTGCACGGGTTGCCCAGCAACGCGTGCGAAATGAAATTTTAATTTAGTAGATCAAAAACTAAGGCGGCTATAATATCATTTTGACGTTACTGTCAGTATAATTAATATTGACAAATAATTATCTTTTTTTATGAAATAAATTAATAAAATGGACAGTGATAGTGATATAAAATTAATACCTCCAAACATAAAGGAAGCTGCAAAAGTAACAACTTTAAATTTGTTGCCACCAACATCAAAAAAATTATATCAACGATCTTATGCCCTCTTCATGAATTGGAAAAAAGGTGAGAACGCAAACTCATTTTCAGAGAACGTTTTAGTGGCTTATGTAAATATTGAACATAATATCACTACTACCTCCCCAAAAATGGTTTTTAATAATTGTACGTTTAATTTTTATAAATAGGTTGGGGTATGGCTTGACCAGTTTTTCAGTTTCAATCGAGTTTATTTATCCACAATTTGTTATTTGCAGTGTAATCTATTCCAGCTAATAAAATAAACCCTTTTATTCGATTTGTGTTTGTTTATGTAATAGAAAGCAGTCGTAGAAAAAGTATAGTATGCAACGAGCACGAAATGAAGCATATTTTGCACGAGTATGAAAGTTTGAAACACGAGCCGTAGGCGAGTGTTGCAAATCATACGAGTGCAAAATAGCTATTTCGTGCGAGTTTTGTAGTCTTTGATTTTTTTGCATCCTATTATCCCTATAAACTATGCATCTAGGGTTCGATTACAATTAGAAGAACACAGCTACGTCATCATTTGGAAAAGTAATTAATTGCACCGCCTACTGGATATTTAGTGGAATATTAATATTATGGGAATATAGGAAATATTGTTTTATAGCCAACAACTTACTTATTTTTTATTTATTGATAGTTTTAGATAATATGTATTCGAAATTCAAAGTAATGGTTATGAGGTTCTTCTAATTGTAATCGGACTCTACCACATACTCAATTTTTATATCTAACACAACACAATATGACTAGCAAACACATAATATTTTTTACGCGATATCACTTTTTGAAGTCGGCGCCAAACACAAACATTTTATGAGACGCCATGGTGAGATGCATTCGATGACTCGTAGCATGGGCGCCGTTCAAAAAATTTCCAGTGGAGGCAAGAATTATAGCATGGTCAAAATACCGCAGGTATAAAGTTATGGCGAAAAAATCCAAAATCCAAAATCACAAACCCAGGGGAACAGACACCCCCTTGCCCTCATGTGGCGGCTCTCAAAAGTCACGATACACAGACTAACGTTACGTTCCTGCGCATGCAGCTTACTGATGGTGACATCACGTGGGACAGAAATATAAGCATTAAAAATCTGATGTGTCCAACACATGACTTTCCTATCTAGTTATTATAGGCATTTTCCGGTTATTTTGTACAACCTATTGCAGCATCTCTATAAATGTTTAGAGGATAAACTAAATATATACATTTTCCACATACATCTACCTCGAAACATTTTTCTATAGATATTCATTGAAAACGAAAATACAGAAAAATTTAAATTTAGTACTTTTCCATTACGGTCCATTTTAGAAAAATCATATAAAAACAAAAATTATAGAAATCGATATCGCAAACAACTTTTAGTTCAACAATTTTCATAAAAATCAGAATTTTGCACATTTTGTCAAATTTCTCGAATACGGACCATTTCAGGAAATTTTGACATAGAACAAAATTATAGATAATAATATTAGAAGTAACTTTTATTTAAACAATTTTCTTCTCCAAACATAAATAACAGATATATTCCATAAAATATAAAAACGGCCTCCCATAAAGTACCCCCCCAGATGTTCCGACTTTGTCCAAAATCTAATCATTTCACGTCAGGCCGAAATAAACCTTAAGTTTAAAATTTAATGTTTTTTCCTTTATCCGTTTTTGAGTTTTCTTCAAATTTCGAAATTTACACATTTTCTCAAATATCTCAAATACGGTCCATTTTAGAGAAATTATGTATAGGACAAAAATTATAGAAAATTATATTACAAACAACTTTTATTTGAACAATTTTTATAAAAAATTATTTTTTTTACATTTTGTCAAATTTCTCGAATACGGACCATTTTAGGAAAATTTTGCATTAAACAAAAATTATAGATAATTATATCAGAAGTAACTTTTATTTCAAGAATTTTCTTCTCCAAACGTAAATAACAGATATATTCCATAAAATATAAAAATGACCACCCATAAAGTACCCCCCCAGATGTTCCGACTCTGCCCAAAATCTAATCAGCTCATTGGACGCTGAAACAAAGCTTAAGTTTAAAATTTGGTGTTTTTCTGTGTATCGGTTCATGAGTTATGCGTTATACAGACACACACACAGACACACACACAGACACACACACACACACACACACACACACACACACACACACACACACACACACACACACACACACACACACACACACACACACACACACACACACACACACACACACACACACACACACACACACACACACACACACACACACACACACACACACACACACACACACACACACACACACACACACACACACACACACACACACACACACACACACACACACACACACACACACACACACACACAGACATCATCGCGAAAATAGTCAAAACGGATTCAGGGGACCTCAAAACGTAAAAATCCGTCAAAAACTCGAGGTCGAAAAAAATCATGATTCCTATACTTTCCTTATATCTGTATACAGATAGGAAAGTAAAAAATGGGAGATGGTGTTTAAAATTCGATATTTTGCCAATTTTAGATTTTATGCAGTTACTTAAGCTTTATTGGTTATTTTATAATATATTCGTTTACAAATATGAAGGTTTAAGGTAAATGATAGTAATAAAAATATTAATTTTTCTCATAAATTATAGGTATTTTGTGACAAAATCCATAACCTGGCCACAAGATAAGTAAAAAATATAGACTAAAAATACAAGTTTGACTCAAATTTGTACTTTCTGGGCGTGGTAGTTCGCTTGCAATCTCTTTTCTTAGTATGTGAAAAAAAAATAAGTGTGCAGAAATAAATTATTTATTTATAAAAAGTAAATGAACAAAAAAATTACTTTTTATTTGGTAAATTTAAATATTTTTTGTAAAGTTTACTTCGAAAATACTCAAAACCAATTTTTCTGTTCATTTACCTTATTATTATATGTGTTTGTGTCCTGCTCATTGATGGCATTACTTCAAAAGAACCGTTGTATTGGGACAGGAAACTATTTTATCTGCTAAAATTTTAAAATACCGATTTATTTTCTTTGCTTAATGAGGCCCGTGCACCTGGTGAAATTCAGTTTTCTTTTCTTGCGTTTATGTTTAAGAGGAATCTCACAATTACTTTCCTCAAAATGGATAGGGCAATTTTAATTAAGTTTGTCCTTTCTTAGATAAGAATTTACCCATATTTTGTGGCATTCGGAAATATCTCCACCGCGCAGACCGGCATTTTAAACATTAATTTAGTTCTTCCCTGTTATATATAGGCAAATATATAGTCACTACTAACACAAAACCAAATATATTATCAAATTATTTTACACTATTCAAACGAAAAGTGTCAACATAACTTGACAGTTTGTCCCGCATTAGGCCATGTGCGGTTTGGACGAATTTTGAATCGAAAGTCAGGATACCATTAGTATGTGTATCATGTCAAAAGGTACTTACTAAATTTGACGTTTAATGTCATCGTACCAAGTTTACCTTAGCACTATTTAATTTTCGTTTAAAAGACTTCTGAAACTAAATACTTTTACATACTAGAGTTTGTAAGTATTTCTCAATTTTATTTCTTGTAATAATTATGACAGTGGTGTTGTCTATTATTTTATTAACTGGTATAGTTTGTTTGTAGTACATTCACGTAGGAAAGGATTAAATTTAGGTGTTGAAATTTAAAATTGTGAAGTTTGTAAGTCTTACATAGGGCGTTAGATTTATAGCTGTTGTTTTTGTATTAGAATTATTATTGTAGAAGTATATTTTGCATATCGTTCACTTAGGCTTAATTTGTAGCATTATCTTTTGCGAGTTGGAGTAGTTTTAAACCGAATTTGTTTGGCAACGATTTCAAAAAGTGATATGTAAATAAATATTTTGCTATTATTTGTTAGTTATATGTGTTGTGTTGGATGTAAAAATTAAGTATGTGGTAGATGCATAGTTTATAGGGATAATAGGATGCAAAAAAATATTTCGTATTTAAGTCAGTTAATTCAAAGAATAAGAAGGGTATTTATTAACTTGCTTTATAACTAAATTCTGAAATTATTTTATACTTTGTAGTGCCAGTGTATGTTATTTTTTGTTCTATTGATTTTATTTGTTGCATTGAAGTCTGTTTTTTTTTGAGAAAACATTTTTTTCTATTCCTTTAATTTTAATTGTAACATTTTTTTTGAGTAAGTTTTTTAAAAATATTTTTTTTTTCAGTGAAGTTAAACATAGAAATTTGAGCATGGGTAGACATGCATCTCGTATGAGAAACCTATGGGCGAATGAGTCAGAAAATAACAAAAATGAACGTTTAAAGCAAAATAGAAAAAGAAACAGAGCCCATCGCACTGATCTGTATTATTTTACTGGATAGGATATAGCCCTCTAAAAAACGTTCCGAAAAATTGGCCGATTTGGGCAAATAATATGGCGGACCGGATGTTATTTAATATAACCTCTATTTCTATTTGTCATTTAATTGTGTCAACAAGTTACGATGAGATGTTTTTTTTATTTATTTAGGTAGTATCGAATAGCATTACTATATTTGTGAAGACACAATATGCTTCACGTTTCCATTTTTATATTTTCTTTCATAAAAAAATCAAATTATGGGTGAATTGTCCCAAAGGACATTGCCCGCAAAAGGAATAGAAGAAGAATTAGAAGAAAAACTAATCAAATTATAGGTTAGGTATGTCAAATTATCCCAAAATTTAGTTATGTGATCCCACCATAATTTGCCCAAATCGGCCAGCAGTGTTGCACTTCCGGTCTCCTTGGTGGAACGGATTTTTAGTATGTTAAATATAGCCTATATCCTATCCAGTAAAATAATATAGATCAGTGGCCCATCGTCTCGGAGAAACCTCGCAAGACCGTAAAGAAAGGCTCTCTAAAATGCGAAATTATGTAATGAAACTGTGAAACAACGCGAATATCGCATGTCACTTATTTAAGAGCGGTTGTCTAATGAGACGGCAGAGCAGCGCGAACATCGTATGTCGCCTATCCAAGAGCGGCTGTCTAATGAGACAGCAGAGCAGCTAGAACATGATATGTCTCTTATTCAAGCGCGACTGTCTAGCGAGACAGCAAAGCAGCGCGAACATCGTATGTTCCTTATTCAAGAGCGGCTGTCTAACGAGAGAGCAGATCAACGTGAACATCGTATGCCGCTTATTCAAGAGCGGCTATCTAACGAGACAGCAGAGCAGCGCGAACATCCATAGTATTTAGCCAAACGTCAATCTGCACAATTAATACGCAATGAAAATGGAGAAGAGAAATCGGTTTGACTTAGTGATTGATATGCAAGCCCGTAATAGTAGAAGCCCGTAATAGAAGAAGTGTTGAACAATTTAAATCAGCGATAAACGTGTTTGCTGACATGGTATACAACATTTGCAATAAAATGATTTATCCGCAACACCGTGCTATGTTACAGACAACAAATTTCGATGTTCAAACAATATTAAAAAACAAAACATTCCTGCTCAGGCATATTGGAAGAAAATGATCGTTTCTGACATTCCTAAAGAAATAGCCAATTTGACGGAAATTGAGAAAATATTTTTGTTAAAAATAGTACCATTTTTACAAATTATTCGTGTAAAAAACCGGTTCAGTCAAGATTGGTGTAAGAGGCAAGTTGTTATATTCGCCAAAGATATTATCGAACCCGCTTCAATCTCATCAAGCTGGGTTAGTTATAGTTACAGAAAAACTTGAAAATTTGCAAAGATCCAGAGAATATCAGGTTGATATAATGAAATTAAATAAGGCATTACAATGGTTCCTAGTTAATAACGCACTTTACGAAGTTTTTTTCAATATCATAGATCTAGATGTTGTAATACAAATTACCGAATCACCTGCTAATGTTGACGCCGACTCGGCAAAACAAAGACAAGTAAATACATTTACAAGCATTGACGAAAACATGGCAATTTTACAAGGTTATTTTTATTAAGGCAGTGAAATATTTAGCACAGAATCACGTCGTAAACAATAAACCTATTGCAATAATCGCCTGCATTGTTTTTAGCCTTTTTGATCCTAACGCATGGCACAAAAGTGACGTCGATTATATTGTAATATTGGGAGACAAGTACTATCGTCAGTGTATTGTAGCTCGAGTTAACCCAGATAATCGGGAATTAAATCACAAGTATTTAGCTGTGACAGAGCTGTTACCATGAATCATTTTTAACAGGCAAGCAGTTAATTTGAGTATCAATTACGAAGCAGCCTATAATGGACATATCGATAACGATAATAGTGTCGAAGGTTTCCCAAACTTAAAAAGTACTTTACTCAGATTACAATGCGATTACAGTCGCTGTGTATTGCAGAAATGAATCTGAAACGCTTTGGTTATTCGATTCCCATGCCCGCGGTGCTAAGGGATATAAAGCCCCATTAAGAGGTACGGCCTGCTGCATACGATTCTACAATATAGATCAATTGCATGCCATTTTACGACGAAACTTATATATTTCTCCTAACTGCAAAACCATTTTACAGCTAATTATTGAGAGTTTATTTTAAAGCACGCAATACCATATGCTACTACCACATTATAAAAGTACTAATTCAATCTTATCCCAAGTTCATAATGACACTAATGACACAGTGGCCCAGTATATTTACACAACCAATATGCTTAACACTATTGATGAAGATGTTACCGATATAGGTAACATTATTTTAATCGATAACAATAATCTAAAGAATAAGGTGAGACTGGCAGAAACTACTCGTAAAACCGTACCACTAATAAATTTAGAACGGGAACGAAGAATAAAGAAATGAAGTTGGTCTAAAATTGACGAAAACGTGTACATTTTGCAAGGTTCTTTTTATCCAGACAGTGAAAGATTTAGCACAAAATCACGTGGTAAGCAATGTACAGCTATTGCAACAATCGTCTGCACTGCTTTTAGCCTTCTTGATGCTAACGTTTGGTATAAAAGTGACGTCGATTATGTTGTAATATTGGGAGACAAGTACTATCGGGAGTGTATTTTTGCTCGAGGTAAAACAGACAATCGGCAATTAAATCACGAGTACTAAGCTGTGACAAAGCTGTTGCCACGGATCATTTTTAACAGGCAAACAGTTAACCTGAGTGTCAATACCGAAGCAGCATATAATAGACCTATCGATAACGATAATAGTGTCAAAGGTTTTCCTAACTTGAAAAGCGCTTTATTGAGATTTTTTGAGGGTTATAAATATGGAATATTAACGTCAAATGCAATTACAGTAGCTGTGCATTGCAGAAATGGGATATATAACCTCAATAGGGGGTACGGCCTACTGCATGCGATTCTACAATACAGATCAGTTGTATGACATTTTACGAAGCAACTTATATAACCCTCCTAAAGACATAATTATTCCCTACTGAGTCTATAAGCTTGAATGTTTATTCATTGACACCTATAATGATATTACCAGAAATAGAACAGCCCGAAAATCAACTGGAAAGACATTCGATCATTGAGACTTCATTTCAGAAAACGCAAGACCGTATGCCACTGGCACGTCATTAATCCGATAATCAAATCTTGACCCAAGTTCATAGTGACACTAACGAAAACGAGCCCTGGTATGTTTATACAACCAGAATGCTTCACACTATTGATGAAAGTGTACCTGATTTGAATAACGTTATTTCAGTCCATTGCAGTGATCTAGAGAATAAACTAAGACTTGCAGAAATCACTCGTAAAACCGTACCACCATTAAATTTAGAGCGGGAGCGAAAAATGGAGGAATTGTTGGTATTTTTTGATTCAAGATGGAACAAATGGATTTGGGGAATAAATAAATATTCCTCTTACGTCTTTGGACTATTTCCAAGTAAGAGTAATGGGTTCAGAAGCACAATTTCAACTAAATGATTACCATTTTTTTTTTGCTTTGTCTGTTGTGGCATACTTTCGCGCTAAATCCAGTGTTTCAGTATCCTGTGGAATGCGACAAGGTTACATGGAAGGATTAATAGAAAATATGCATCTGACAATGAGGAACGTACGTGGATCTGCTTCCTACTGAAGACAGTGTTGCTCAGAATTGATTGCCATGGTTAAAAGTCTCGAAGTACCGACGTGGTTTATGACATTCTCCTGTAACGATTTAAATTGGTCAGACGTGACCAAAGCAGTACTTATTGCAAACAGCGGTGACTTGCGTAAAGCAGAAGCCCAAGTCAATTTATTAAAAACTATTTAGTCTCTTCTTTTTCTCCTTTACACTAACTGCTTTGTATGCTTGTATTTCTTCCTCTGCTTGTCTGGTTATGCTTATACTCCTTACTTGTTTAAGCTCTTTCTGCTCCTACCGTTGCTATCTCATCTTCCCTCTCCTTTCCTTAATTGTATAATAAAATTTCCTTAACCTCTTTTAAATTGTTTTGAATTCCAACTTTTTAAATATCAATACAATTCTATTATTCGGGTCCGTATAAGATTAAGAGTGTCGGAATTAAAAGAAAAAACTATTGCAATAAAAAGTACTCATTTTATATAGTAAATACCTAAAAAAAAATTGCGGAAAATCCACAAAATTTTGAGAAAAATGAATTAAAAGTTGTAATTTTATAGGTTATTTTGGTTTTATCATACTATTATGTAGGTGACAATTTCAAAGTTTAAATGATATTATAATTGAAGTAACTTACTTTTGTTACATTTTAACTAAAATTAGATATCTATGGAAAATTATTTTGCATTTGCTAATTTAAATTATATTAAAATTAAATGCATTGTATTGTCTGTTTAACCATTTACTTCCACAAAACATAAAATGAAAAAAATAAATCATCAAATTACCTTTGTTGGCACATGACACATGGGGTAGTTGAGTTTGCACCGTTGCCATATTAACAAAGTTTCTCCAGGTTTTATGTGTCTAGACTTTATAGATAGATGAGAGTTCAGAGATAATTTGAAGCACTAAAAAGTACTTGTTATATACAGTAAGTTAAAAATTTATGAAAAATCACGAATTTTTAAGAAAAATTTTATCAAAAATTGCAGTTTTTTTTACCTTATTTGCCTTATTATCGTACGATGTATTCATGTTATTTGGTCGAATATCATTTATCTGCTTATAAGAACTGAAAAGTTTCAATTATATTTCATAGATCTCATCACAAGATATTGACAAATTTTATCTAAAACTACTACTAAAGTAACTCATTTTCAACACAAAAATAATCATCGAAGTCAGTCGACGTGATAAGAAATTATTCGCTCATATGTTGTCCAGATGTATTGGTATATTGAAGATTTTGATGATTTTCTCATGGATCCTATCATCAGATCTTGATTAAATTTAAATTGGACAACCCCTCTTTCTAAACAAAAAGAATCATAGAAATCGGACATTATGGTAAAGAATTATTGCTGAACATAAAAAAGAAAAAAATATTCCGACGAATTGAGAATCTCCTTTTTTGAAATTGGTTAAAAATGAGTTTTAATTAGTAAGGAATTGACTTATTATATAGTATGAATAAAAGAGAAATGCAGTAAAAGTGAGGATATAACGTCACATTCCATAGGCGTACTTTGCAAAATAAGTTTCTATAATATAAATAAGGCAACGGCATATAAAATGGTATATACGCATTTCATAGATTAAATTTTGAATGAAAAAAGTTATATCACTTACCAAAAATAAAAATAAACCTTGCTTCTGACAAAATTGTTGCACTTTAACACTGAACTAATTAAATTTAACCAATAAATAACAAGGAGGATTATATGTCGTTAATGAGAATAAACTTTTTTTAATCTTTTGGCATTAAAAGTAACACTTCAGTACCTAAAAGTTTAAGAACTTCTTTAAAAGTCACTGTCTTCACTATAACTACTGGTATCGTCGCCATTGTCTTTTCTGAAGTTTATTATTATAGGATCTATTAAGTTTTCCATTGCTATATCCAATTTCCAAAATTAATTTTCCACCTTTTTAACATGATCAATGCATTTTCTCAAATGTTCTCCATTTACATCTGAAACTGCATTCGAAACCAAATTTTGCACATCAGGTAATTTAAATGTTGTATTGTTTCGAGAAACATAACCTTTTAATTGTGATTCTCATCTTTAAATACAGCATCCGAGACGTCTATCTTAGTTCGACAGACTGCGATTCTAATGTAATGTCTCTCTATTCCACACGTAATGTGTTGAGTTCGCACATAAGGATCCCTGTTCAGATCAGTTCAATGGGATTTATCTGCGTGGTAAGGAGGCAATCTAAGAATTTCAATTTCTTTTCTTGGGCCATCTCGTCTACAATATATTTTTGGAATTTGTTTTTATGTTGCCTTGCTATTACGAGTAATTCTGCCTTCAAGGATTTAGTAGGACTGATCTAATTTTTAGAATAAAGCCATTTTGAAATATATTCTTTTTTCCATCTTGTTGTAGTTAGTGCCTTCTTTAGTCGACTGTGATAGGATGCATTATCCAAAATAATAACGGAGTTGGCTGGAATTTTTTTTATAATGTTCTGAAACCAATTTTCAAACATAAGGCCATCCATTTCTTCATGGTAGTCGTTTGTTTTCTTTGACTCAAACATTAATAAACCATCTGACAAAAATACATCGGTGCATCCGATGTGGGTTATTATTAAACGATTTTCTTTTCTTGTTGGATTTTTTAATCCATAAGAGACCCCTTCCATAAAGGCTTGTTTTTTAGTTTTGCCAAATTTCTGTTTATGTTGATTCCTTAAGTCCATTATTTTCCGAAAATAGTCATGTCTCCAAGCAATGATTTCGTATTTATCTGTTAAAAAGCGGGTTCTCTCACGTTTTCTGTAACGAAAATTTATTTCATGTAATCTTTTTGAAGATGAAAATATGATTATATTTGGAAGAGTGTGGCTATTTTTTATTTTCAATGTGCGATATATTTGGAAGAGTGGGGATATTTTTTATTTTTGAATGTAATTTTTTATGTGTAAGAATTTCATTTCGAAAGAAAAAATAATGTACCATTTGCCTTATTACTTTCTTTACCCAAATATTAATAAAGGTTTTGCTCCTTCCCAGGGACTTTTTGGGATGTAAGACTTCTGTGATAACTGTACCTTCTTTAATAATGTTATGCACTGTCCGCTTAGATAGGTCTCATATTTAGTGTCTATTTCATCCACAGAAGGCGAAACAGTCTTCTCG